GCCAGTGTGGCTGATGCAAAGAGACAGAAGGAATGTATAATAGGTCAGAGAGATAACAGAAAGGCAAGGGTGAGGCTGTATAAGGCTTTGTAGATTACTGATAGAGAACTTTGGCATTAATCTGAGTGAAATGGGTGTCATTTCAAGGTGCTAAGGAAGAGTTGACTGTTTAACAAGGGTCTTTCAGGATATTATATATAGGCTAGATGAGCAGGGCTAGGATAGAAGCAAATAGGCTAATTAGGAGGCTGTGACAGTAACCCCCCAAAAAAGATGATGTGGCTTATGCCATGGGTTGGTCACTAGAGGTTATGAGAAGTAGTCTGCATAGGGCTATATTTCGAAAGCAAGATCCAAGAAGATTTTATGATAGATTGAACATGGAATATGAGTTGAAAAGAAAGCAAAGTTTTGGCTTGAGCAACTAAAAACATAAAATTGCTATGGATTGAGGTGCTATTGATTGAGATGGCTGTAGGAAGAACAGGTTTGTGAGGAACATTAGGATTTCGGTTTTGGACATACTGATATTTAAATGACTATTAGGCACCTAATTATAGATGTCAAGTTGGTTGTTGATCATGCATCTTTGGAGCTAATCAGAATGCCAGCTTTTCCCTGGCTAAAGAGGGAGACGTTGGAGCCACCAACATTTTGGGATTAAAAACTGTGAGGCTGAGTGATGTTATCAAGTGAGTGGGTATAAATAGAGAAGACGAGGACTCAGCTCTGAGGGTCCTCAGAATTACGAGGTGAAGCAAAAAAGAAGAAACCATCAGGGAGAGACTGAGGTATGACTATCAAGGTAGAAGAAAAACTAGGTGGATGTAGTGTTCCAAAAAGCAAGAGAATGAAGTACATCAAGTAGAGGGGAGTGAGAAGTAGTGCCAAATGCTGCTGATAGATCCGGTATGATAAATACTGAAAGTCGCTCATTGAATTTCCCAAGTGAGCATCACTGGTGACTTGAACGAGAACATAATTTGGTGGAATGGTGACAGTCAAAGCCTGGTTTAAGTAGCTTAATAGGGAATGGCAGGAGAGGAATAGGAAACAGTGAGGAAATCCAACTCTTGAGGTTGCTGCGAAAGGAAGCAAAGAAATTGGATGAAGACACATGGGGAAAGTGAGGTCAACCTGAGGGGTTTGTTATTGCTGCTGTTTTTGGTTAGAAGAAATTATAATATGGTTATGTGCTGATGGAAATGATCCAGTAGAGAGAGAGAGATTAATGTTTTAGGAAAGATAGCAAGAATTCCTTAAGCAATTTTGTTGGGTCAGCAAATAGTCATAGTATCTAACGTCCAAGTGGAAGATTTGGCTTCAAAGAGAAGATAGAATATTGTCATCCATAGTGACAGGCATGTTTAGGGTAGTCATGCCGCTTGAGAGGGGTAAATATAGCAGTGAGACCCTCTGTAAAATTCCTTTTTATCACTTAGTTTCTCCATGAAGTAGGAAACAATATCTCATAAAATCTCAAAAATTGTTCAAAAGAAAATGAAACTCAGGTATACGGCTCTATAAATATTTATTCAAAAAATAAAACACAGCCAAACATAATACAGAAAGTATGCCATAAATGTTCTATTTTAGGAGTTTTTCTGCATAAACCAATTGAGATTTTAGAATAGGGATCTAATGTCTTTTCAACTAGGGACACTTCTTTTCCTGGTAAATATCTCTGTATTAAGCATAGGCATTCTTCGTTGCTTCATTAATCTTCAGATTTATTTAAAAATAGGGATATTTATATATAAATTTTTCTATTTGCCAATTAAATGTGCCAGATTGTAACTTTTAAAGATGTTATATCTGGATAGGTTAATGTTCATGAAAAAATCTTTAGCCATCTCTTGCTCTTCATTTTAACAAGATAACTGGCCCCTGTCATCTTGCCAGTGTTGTCAGCTTGGTACGTTGTAGATATTGGCTGCAATTCTTAAATAGATATAAACAGGAGCTTCCACTATTCTTATTTATAATAAGTACTTAAACTTAAACCAGAGATAGGAAGCACCTATATGATTTTTTAAAAAGACATGGTGGACCCTTTAATCTAAATTCTGTTTCTTCTCTGGTATATAAAAAGTCACTTTTCGGAGGTTAGAAACTGCATTTTAGTGCTTTGCTTGAACAAAATTTTCAAAACATAACAAGGTATCGCATAAACGTTTTGTAATTGTAATGATCTTAGTTTGGGCCGCTACAAACAGGGTGGCTTATAAACAACATACACTTATTTCTGACAGTTGTGGAATCTTTAGGTTCAATATCAGAGTACCTGCATGGTCATGTAGGTTCCTCTCCTGAGTTACACTGCCAGTTTTGTTGTACCCTCACATGGTGGAAAGAGAGCTCTCTGGGGTCCCTTTTATAAGGGCACTAATGCTGTTCATGAAGGCTCCATCCCCATGACCTAATTTTTTTCCCAAAAGCCCCGCCTCATAATACCATCACATTGAGGGTTAGGATTTCAACATATAAATATTGGAGGGCCACAGATATTCAGTCGATTGTCATAATAAAATATATAAGATAGATGTTTTAAAAATGCTTGTTAAGATTCTTTCATATTAGTGATCAAGTGAGTTTGAAGCAAAAGGGGAATAACCATAGTATTGAACTCATAGAGTTGTAGGGGAATTGAAATGATATTGCCCATGTAAGGTAACTTAGTGCAGTGCATGGCCCATGGTAAATGACTAACATGTTATTGTAGTGGGTACAAGGTGGTGATGGGGTTCCTTAAGAAAGATTCCATAAAATTGACAAAATTAGGGGACTGTTCTTAGTTAGCTGCTGTGTGTGTGTGTGGTTTGTGTGTGTGTTTTGTGGGCGGGGGGTGACAGAAGGTTACTAGAGCCAGCAACATTTCATCGAGAACAAATTTAAAGAATGAATTGAAAGAAACAATTCATCCAGCTTTTACGTGCCAGGTACTGTAGTAAGCATGTTAGATACGCACTGTATTTTGTCCTTATAGCCCTGCACAGTAAGTTGTATTAATCCAATTGTATGAATGAGGAAATTGAGTTGGGGGGAAATGATTAACTGCTACAATGGGAGAGCTCTCCGCAATTTGGTAAGTAAATTAAAAGACTGAATTCATCTACTAAGCTGTCCATAAAAGAGCAAAATTCTCACCAAGGTCATCATGGGATTTAGTTTTTAAGTCCCCAGCCTTCTTTTCACCATACTGTTATTTGCTTATTCATCTAAATCCAACCTAAATTCAAATGCACATTGCTGGTTTGCTCTAAATCAAGGAGTTTGCTTACTCTGCAATTAGTCATGGGATTTGCTTCTGAACATGTGTGTAGAGATGGTTTACTCTTTTGTACTGATAAAGGTTGAAGACAGAAGGAAAATCTCACTTTTTGTCCCATGAGAGAAAAAGCTCTCTTCCCATTGCAGAAGACAACAGCATAGATTCCTTAAAAACTAGCTGTGTTTCCAACTCATATAACTCTTGCTCTAGTTGATGAAAAGCACAATATTCCTTCTCTCTTCCTGTAGGAATGCAGAAATAGGAAAAGAGAAAGAAAAAGAAAAAAGAAAAGAGGGAAAGAAAGAAAGAAAAAAGAAAGAAGGAGAAAGAGAGAATGAAAAGAGAAAGAAAAAGGAAAGAAAGAAGACAGGAAGAAAGAAGAAAGGAAGGAAGGAAGGAGACAAGGAAGGAAGGAAGGAGGGAGGGGAAGGAAGGATCTAATTTATTTTTTCTATTCAGAACAGAAAAAATCAATTAGAAAAATAACTTTTTTTTCTCCCAAGGGGAAAACTAAGTTGTAGCAGCCCTTTGGAGACTTTGAAGGACATCATACCCCATTCATTCATGGCAATCAGTTGTTGAACACTGAGCAACTTCATTTATAAATGAAGGAGAACAGTTTGGCTGGCAGAACAACTTTCAAATATATTTTGTACCTGAGTCTATTCTAGAACAAAAACTAAATCAATATAAGCATTTTGAAAGCTTATTATGGAAATGTCAAAGCTCCAGTTTTTAACACTTTCAGTTTTTTTTTTTAAAGATGTGACATGTAAATGCTTCACTGAGTCTATAGCCGACCCCATGAAAATAGGAAAAAATGATGCCAGATTATCAAAATGTTTCTTTCTTTCTGTAACTTGGATTGAGAGGTGAAGAATTCTCATCCTGGAAGGGAGAGGAGAACTGCCTGGGTTTCCATTTTGAGTTTAGTATAAGAATAACTCTGTGCAAATATATATATTTTTAAATAGTGAAAAAACAATTTGTTCATCCACAGCCAACAAGGCCAGTTTAGAACAGGGAAATTTAGGGTAGTTGTAGCATGGGCCTTAATGACTAGAAAAAGTAACTAATAAATTAGTTACTAAGAGGAATTGTGATCTTCTTTTTCCCCAGAGGATTAAAAAAAAAAAATCTGCTCAGCATCCATTTTGGATAGCCTAGGTGCTCTTCCGTCTACAAACAGGCATCTGCACTGATGATTCTCGTGGGTGCAAAGGATGTGGCAGAAGTTCTTTCCCCCTCTCCATCTCAGGACTTATTTATACAGTGTTTATATTTGATCATTTATGCTACAAGTGAATCACAATTTCTCATCCTTCAGTGGCCAGCTCACTTGCTGCTTTTCGCTAATTGTAGAGGAACTGAAATCCTTGGAGAGAGGGAGAGAAACAGCAAGAGGGCAGAGACCCAACCGCTCTTCCTCTAAGAAGCCTGTGACTCAGCCCTGAGCTTCCCCACCCCCAACCAACTTCATCAAACCTCAGCCCCCCAAATGCATGGTTTAACATTTTCTTTAGTGGTGCAATCTTGTTAGGAGATTACAGGGAATACTGAGTTTTATTAGGGTTCTTTCAACAAATTCATTTAATTGTTACTGCCCCTTGGCTAATGCTGAGTCACTCTCAAAGCTTCATAGCATTCCATGACAACTCATCCTTCTTGACTTTCCTTTTTTTTTTCTTTTCCTTTTTTAAGTTCTCTTAATATTTTTTATTCCCAACAGACTTGACTTTGGACAAAACTGAGAAGAACTCATAAACTTGGCTTCCTCACTTCTGCTCCTCAGGTGAGTTTAATTCCTATTTCTATTATGCAATGTCGTTAAAGAATATTTTCCCAGATTTCTGTTGAAGAACTGCCTTTTTTGATCTTTTCGATGCTGGCATTCTTTCAGAATTAACCATGGAAAAACTTGATGACACTTCCATCCTTCTTGTAAAATTCATCTTTGGAGTAATTTTACAGTGTGTGTTTTCCCCTTGGACATTTTAAAGAGCTGGATTTCCGTCTCTTTGCAGAGCATCCCAGCAGCTGTGTCTCATTTTCTTTGCAAGGGCATTTGAAGAAATTGCTAGTTTGTAAGCTGCTTAACATATGAAATAATTGTTTTAAAGCACTTTACAGTTTGCTTAGTGCTTTCCTGTTGTTTTACCCCATCATTTCTCAGAGAGGCTCAGGATGTATTATTTACATTTTTCAGAGAGGGAAATGGGGTACTGAAGACATAACAGTAGTTTGGCAGGGCACAGTTAGGCTCATAAATTAATCAACAGATTAAAATCTCTCCCTTCAGATCCTTTAATATCTATGACCAGAAAGCCTCATACCTTTTGACCTAAACAGGTAGACAGACATATCTGCTTTGCTTCACAGCAATTTGTAGTCTAGCTAGTTTTAGATCTACCCTAGTAAACTGCCTCAGTGATTGGAAGTCAGAACACTGTTTGGACAGATTAAACATTGTTTGGCTGTTTTTATTAAAAGTGAGGTACTGGGTGGCTGAAAGCACTTGTTTTGGAGTTGAACTGCTTGGAGTTTAATCCAGGTTCCAACTCGTACCAGCTGTGTGACTTTGGTAAATTACTTAACCTCTCTTAGCTACATTTTGCTTACATGTGAAATGGGAGCAATAATTGCAACTTCATGGAATTATTGTTGTGAGGCTTAATTGAATGAATCCATGTAAAGCTCTAAGCATAGCATCCAACACATAGTAAGCCTTCAGTAAATGTTAGCTGTTACCATATAGTGGTTCAAAAGGTGGTTACCTGGTCATTTTTCCTGAGATTCATTTAGGTTGATTTGTTTCATGAAATTATACATCTGGCCCAGTTAAGACTAGAGAGATCTTAGTGGTCTTAACAGATAATTGGTGGGTAGACAGAACTTGTACTAATGCTTCCTCTGCTTTAGAGGGCTGTGATAATTATAATGTCTCATTCTTCTCCCTAAAACGCAAAGTGGCCATGTTGTTCCTCCTGAGTAATTTGCAACATAGATAAAGGACCCCATTCAGTACTGCCCATGGTATTCAACATAGCACTTTTGAAATGGTAGCACACAAAAAAGTAAAAGACGACATGGGTTTTCTTAAAGTTCAAGAAGACAGCAAGGTGCAGAGGAAGTAGTACCGATCTGTGTGGTTGTAAACTGGCTGTTGTTGGAACACACTGGACTCAGTCCTGCATCCGCTAGTCATTTCCTAAGTAAACTGGGCAAAGCATTTTGCTTCTCTGTACCTTTGTTTCTCCAATTATAAGTGGGAATTATAATACCTGCAGGGTGGTCAACTCATCTCTTATTTGCCTTGGCCATTCCCAGGGCAAGTGCCATGTCTCAAAAGCCTCCTCAGTCCTGGGGAAAACTAGAATGGTTGGTCACGCTAAATACCTACCTCTCTTCTCTTACTACGTTCACCATATGGGCAACAGAATAAAAGTGCTTTGACATTTCATGTACTGAAGAGTCTAATAATCAACTCGATTCTAAACCTAAGTTCCAAAAATAGTGCTTTGGGGTACTGGAAGAAAAACATAGCAATACATTATATTATAGTGCATTAGTTATTAAGTAAGAATAATGCATTTTAATTCTTGGTGCATCATTCCTGGGGCTTAGAAATATGTAACTGGAACCATGTTTTATCTCAACCTTATGTGTTTACATACGTGTAATTGAAAGTAAACAAGAGTATGTTTATACAGAACATTTAAGACAAGTACTTTCAGGTGATCATGAAGGTAATTTGCATTTGAAAGACCTCATTTGGATAATCTTTACTTCTTGAAAAGTTCTGTTTTGTATCCAAGACATATTTTGGATGTGATTGCCATTTACAACAAATTGATTGATTAATTTTAGAAAACTTCAAAGGAAAACAAAAGAGTCTGACAAAGGTGACATAATGACCATTTACTTGGTATCAAAAAAATAAGTACCCATCAAAGAATAATAGTACATTGCCAGTAATTAATGTGAAGCAGGATTGGTGTTCCAGAGATATGCAAAAATATTAACCAATGTGCATACTCAGGAATTAGAGTAGTTTTCACAAAATGATTCATTTAGTTTGCTTTCAGGTCATATAGAGATTGCACTTGAGTGGAACTTCAAAATGTGTAACCATGTGTTTACCTGAAAAGTCAAAAGTTTTTTGATTGACTTTTATTTGTGTTTCACCCAGAGGCATCTGACTAGAATCAAGCCAATACACACCCCATAAATGCCAAAGTGAGGCTTCTCATAGACGTACACAGCAAAGATACATAACACATATGCAGTATGTATTAGTAAGAGCGTAAAAATTAGCAAATTTCATTAAACTCAATTGCTTATGTTAATACAGAGAAGTAAGATTTACTTAAACAATTAGCCTCATTTTTGCTTATTTTGTGCTTGGCTTTTGAAATAGGGCATACAAACCTAGGTTAAGGGATATTAAGGGAATTGAAGACCCAGAACATGTCACATACTCTTTCTTCATCTACCCTGGAGGACCACCTGCAGCCCTGGACACATGATACTCAGTAAAGCCTTGTTAACTTCCATTGACTGTTCTTTGTATTAATAATCATTCAGAATAACATAATGAAACCAAAGTGAGAAGGGCATGGCCTAGCGTTCCACATTCAACTTTTCCCCAAGGAATGAACTGCTTTACCTCTCAGGCAGAAGCAAAGAACTCATTCAAAAGCAGAGCTGAAGGCTGTTGGAGTTATTGTTGTTTATATTTCTCTGGACAGAGGAGCAATTATGTTGGCTTCAAAGGCCTTTTCTTCTACCTTCCATCCTGGCATGCTAGTACTGGAAGAAGCCTCCATTCTGTTCCTACATTTTACAAATGGAAACCCAGAGAAGGAAACTCTTTGCCCAAGGTCACAGATGCAGACCTTCTCAGATATTTGTTAACCCTAATTTAATTTTTCCACATTTCACTAAATAGAGCTGTAGGTGACTTTCTTGCCCTTGGCCCTTTTTTAGTTTAGGAAATACCCTTCCCAGATCCTTCCCACCATCCAGTGTGGTCCCTATCCCACCACTTTGTAGACAACTCTCCTTCCTTCCAGTGCTTTCAAATGGCATTTTCTTTGCTCTCAGCCAGCACACCTGTACCTTCATTCCAAGGTTTCAAGATAAGGGAATCTTCTCGTTGATCCAAAGTGCTTTCTTTGACATAGCGATGCAGGTCTCCGGGCTTCTACCAACGCCTCTGAGGCTTCAGTCACGTGAGTCAAGGTACTTTATGGTTAATTTAGCTGGTGAGGAGAGCAAGCTCAAACTTGTGAGAAGAGACATCAACTGCAACAAACCAAGGTCAGAGCTTGAACAGAACCTCCAAGAAGACAGATTGCCTGTGGCTCTGACAGCATCATTCCCCCGACAATAGTGATGCAGACAGAAAGTAGAAAAATGACAGTCTCCTTTAAGAGGCAGATGAAGGCACAAAGGTTTTTCAAAACTCAGTCCCACAGAGAGGAAATCTGCTTGAATTTATTCAGGCCCCTTCCTTTTAAATCCTCTTTACCCTTGGCTCTGCTAGGTGCTAAAGTTTATGCATCAGCGACAGGTGATTCTTATGTAAGAATGGAATCTCGGGTGTGATAAATTTGGTCTTGAGAAATCTCAGCTCAGTGGCTGCAGATGGCAATGTCATGATGGCAGAGTGAGAGAGTGGTGACCTGCTGGGCTGTGGGCTGTCTGTGAAATGGCTACTCGGCTCAGAACTGTCTGAGCCAATTCTTGAGTCTCAAGGTCATGACCAAGGGGCACAGCCCAACTGTAAAGTTGACATTTATTCTAGCAACATTCTTGCTAATCCCTTGCACACTGCATCTGGCTCACTCAAAGGTCCCCGAAGAATGGGGTTGTAACCTGTGATCTTTGTGAGTACCTTTATAATTTCGGGTCTTTGTCTATCATGACTAGTCCTGTTAAGGTTCAATTCTATGCTTGTAAAGAATTGCTTACACTAGAGGATTTGCACCAACCGTGTTGGCTTGGTGAAGGGGACATTTCTGTTCACCCCATCCTGGTCAGTCAGGTTCTGTGATCCAGGTATCTCTTTAGTGGCAACTTTCAGGTCACAGTTTCTTAGCCTCTTAGTTTTGCAGAGTTTTGAAATCCCTAAAAAGTACACATGCAAACAATTGTGAACATGCATGTCTTTCTCTAAGGAGAGGGTCTACCACTTTTATAAATTTGTTTTATGAGTCTGAGACCCAAGACATAATAAGAGTCACTATTGTAGATGGAGAAAATATTCTGAAGCAACCCTTGTTTCCTTTCAACTAGATTTCCTACTTCGAATTTTGGATCAAACTTGATCAGAGGTAAGCAACATAAAGCAAGCTTGGGTCCTGGCTTAGACCCTGCCTCTACATTTTCTGACTATGTGAGCTTAGACATGCCACTCCTCTATGTCTCACATCCTTATTTAGAAAACGGATAAAATGGGGAAAACATTATCTCCCTCATTATGTTATTGAGAATTAAATGAGAGTATATGTAAATCATGTAATGTACCTGGCGTTTGAGAAGCATTCAAAAACCAGTAGCTAATAGTGGTGAGAGTCCCATGGAACTCATGTCGCCAGAGTATATGGGCTGATAGGCAGTGCCAAGTATCTTCTTCCCTTCTTCATTTTTAGCGTATTCCTGCCTTTGTCTATTTACCGAGTCATTAGCTGCCATTTTATATTCCTCATAAGTATTAACATTTTTTTTTTAAGGCTGGAGCTGAGCCTGTAGATACAGGCTGCCAAAAAGGCAGGAGCTGGGTCTGAGAAT